TAGCTAGTCATGATAGTGCACACCTCTAGTCTCAGCTACTCAGGAGGCTACAGGGAGGATTGCCCGAGCCCAGGAGGTCATGCCTGCAGTGAGCTATGATCTCGCTGATTCACTTCAGCCTGGATGACACAGTGAGACTGTTTGGGGGGGAAAAAAAAAAAAAAAACCTGTAAAAATAAAAATTAAGAAAAAAATGAAGCACCACTTTGATGTTCCCTGAAGGTAGGCTGCCTGTTTTCAATGCTCAGTTCTGCTAATGATTTACCAGGTAAAACAGAAATACTATTAGCATCTGCATCATAGGACTGTATGAGCTGAGAAGTAAAGGAGTTAATAGGTTACATGCTTAGAACAGTTTGAGGAACCTAAAGAGTGCTAAAGAAGTATGAACTATTATTATTCAGATATGTGTAAATTTTTAGGCATCCAAATGTATTAAATTCCCAGGTTTTGCCTCTGATTGTTTCTGCACATATGTTACTAGTCTTCTCTGATAACATAATTCCATTTTTTTCTAACTCTTTGTCTTTCTAATAAACAAGATGCCATCAGACTTTGCATAAAGGATACATATTTAGGAAGTTGGCACTGCATTTTATCTATGCTTAAAAAATAAATGGGATATTACTATGCCAAAAGAAAATGCAGATTTGCAAATTTCCCTATTCTTTATTGATGGTTCCTCTGATATTATTTTTCTTTGAGTTCTACCCCATATCCCAGATTTTTAAAAATCTCAGTTGTTCCATTTGCCAGTCTACAATGTATTTGTGAAATCACTGTCAAACCTCCACAGCATCAATATAAATCTTATATGATATTAGCTTAATTTAAAAAATCGTCTTCTCCAATATGTTCATTAAAATCTTGTTATGAGGAACTATTAAACAATATTTATATAATAGAACTGAAAATGCATTATGAACAGTAGAAGTGAAAATGCATTATGAACGTTGCAGTCAATTTCATTTTAAAAAGAGTTAAAATTTCACTAAAATATCCATGTTATTACATAAACATTTATTTTTGGACTGATGAGCACTCTTTAGTTAAACAACTGAAAGACAAGGAAATGTGGTAATACTTCTAAGAGGAGGCAGGATTAAATGCAGTGCATGGTCAATCCTTTTAAGATGGCTGCTTAATAACATCACAAATAGGCACAATTTCATGATTTCAAACTAACTTTACAATAAATTTAACTTATTAGATAAAGGTAAAAGGGAGAATAGAATACCTTCATCATCCTAAGTGCGGATTTGATGAACTCTTCCTTTCTTGGAATATAATCGCTGCTTCACTGCAAATGTATTTTTTTAATGTAGCTCTCACAAGTACATGAAATAAGCTCTTGCTTCACTTTTTGTGTACTAAATGTGCAATTAAAACATCATTGCTCTGCAGTAGCAGGCTTTCTCATTTAAACTTGAGAAAAGCTGCCATTACATTGGTTGTAACTATATGTGAATGCACTTGTCATATCTTAAAGTACTTCATGCAATGAGGTATTACGAAATGAAAGACACCTATTGGTCTAGGATATTCACGCATGAGGAAGCTGACCAGACAGCTTTCAGGTAAGGTAAGGCACTATAAGACAGTGACATATGAATCACTTTTATAAATCTACTCATTTATGTGAAAATTAAGCCTATATTTTACTTTCATGATGGAAGTGACCCCTAGAAACGTGAAAACCATTGTATTTTCATACCACAGCTTAGCTTTACCTCCAAAGAACTGCTTGCACTAGATTGGCCTGAACATTTATTTTAACACTTTGAGATACATTTAATACTTCAGCTAAGATCAACATTTCCACTAAAGGACCTTGAACTATTCTCAGTTATCTATTTTATAAATTCTTGAAAAATTTAACAGCCTTGGGTGAGTGGAAAGCGTAATCTGAAACAACAGCATTACTGTAGCTAACTGATTATATTTTGGTATAAATCAGTGTGAGTATCAGTGTAGGAAGCAAAAAAAGAAAAGATTTTTCAGACTTGACATATAATCTTTCTAGACTTCTGGAAAGAAATAGAATACCAGATATGCCTGAAGGGGACAGCCTTATTCTGCTAGTCAGGAGATCAGGGTTTTATACCAGCGTTACTACATGCTAGTTGTAGAACTTTGGATAAATCACTTTTAAAAATCTCTGGAACTCGAGTTTTTATCTACCAAGCATATTGGTTGGAGTCAGTGAGGTTCTAACTCACTTCTTGCCTCCAACTACTATGACCTTTCTTAAGAAACACTACTTCTAAATGGAATAAAACTTTGTTCTGATCACCTAAATTCTTCAGTGGTATAATCACTTTGAAGACTTCATTTTCTAAAAGGCCTAATCATTATATTAGAATGCAGAACTAGTGAGCTCCTACCACATACACAACATCTGTCAATGGCTTTCAGCTTCCTATGCTGTGTAAATGAAGATCTCAACTGGAAATGAATCTTTTGAACAGATGGACCTGCGCTGTTTCTTGGAACTTTGAAAGCTGTACAGTGTGCCTGCCATGAACTCTTCTACGTGACTCACGGAAGTAGATGACTGTTTGCGTTGCCATTTATGCGCATTCATTCACTCAGAAGCAGATCAGCCGTTTCTCTCTGGATGACATTCAACGCTAGCAAAACAAAGCATTTCCTGATTTTTAAGTAACTAATAAATTCCTTTGAAACTTTACAAAACATTTGTTAGGACAAGACTTTGCTTCCCCTTCCCTTGGTACCCCAACACACACACACTGTGTTTGTTTCAGGTGCAGAATCAACACACACAAAATTAAGATAATGGTGAAAGTCAACAACATACGGAATAAGGAGAAATCTCTTGGAGACACCCAAAAAATCCTTAAGTCAGAAAAACAATTATTTTAAATGCCTCAAGGAAATCTGAGCAGACTTTTAAAGATATTAATTCTATATGCCAGCATAGTTCATACATTTTTACAGACAGTTGAGATTCTGAACTCAATTCAAAGGTACTTTACCTGCTAAATTTGATACTAAGTTCATTTTTTTAGACTAGCCTCTCATTTGTAAAAGAGTAATTTGAATTGATAGTTTTTATCCACTTTCTGCCAGAAAGCTTTACTTGATAAGTTTCAATCTGGTCAAGAATCATTCTCCTCAAGAATTCCAGTCTTACTACAGAAGCTTTAAAAATTGTACTTTAAAAAATGAGTTTAAGATAGTTGGAGTTAGGGGTGAAGAAGAGCTGAAACTTGGAAGAAATTCCTTTTAGTAGCGTAGAGAGCATTTTCTCTTAACTTCTTTGTTGGTTTGTGTTACAAATACTAATGGCTCTTAGGGACAACCTTTCCTTGAGATACTGAAACCACCTTTGCAAAAACTTTATCAGGGAGAAAATTATGGCAGTTGAGGAGATCTAATCTAGCTAAACCCTATCTTGCCTTTAGTATCCAACCTGATCTTAATTATTTCTGGGTTTAAGCCAAGCTAACTTTGGAAGACATTCAGTTTATAGTTTAAGTAATAATAGGCTTTCACCAAAACTCAATCACCTTTGTAAAGCTAAGGAAAGATCACCAGGCTAGGAGGAGAGAGGAGTCTGAATTCTGCTAAGGCATAGACATAAACAATTGCCAGCCATTGTTCTGGAAGTCACAATGGATACAAATTCTCCAATTTCTCCATTAGATAACATCACTGTTGTAGAACCTAATGGGGTCTTTTGAGATATCTTTTCAGGGTTTTTGCATGCCTGACACCAATGGACCCACCAACTGCTCCTGTGGCCCCACCCAGAAGCAATTCAGCCTGGAGGAGTACCATTTCCCACACCTGTATGACTGCATCCCCAACCAACAGCAGCAAGCAACCATTCCCTAGCCACTCCCACCCCTTCCCCCAAACTATCTTTGAAAAATCCTAGCCCCTAGATTATCATGGAGTTTGATTTGAGTAATAACTTCATCTCCTGTGTGACGTGGCTGGCCTCTCATCAATTAAATTCTTTATTGCAATGCCATGGTCTCTGTGAATTGATTTTGTTTGTGCAGCAGGCAGGAAGAACCCTTCTGACGGTTACACACCTGTCTTAATGAAGAATATGTTGCTGTCACTTAGAAGGACTTGACATAACTTGTGGAAAGACAAAAGAAGTATCAGCAGTTTTTGAGAATATGCCAGAAGCAGCACATGGAGATGGAGCATTCTCTCCTCTCCATCCCTATCATCTTCCATAAAATTAAGAAACAATCATTTTATATGTGGTAGATCTTGTATTAAAAAATCCCCTTCCGTAAATTTCAAACTAAAATCAATTTTCTGAAGGATAGGGCAACACAGATGGTGATGTTTAACATGTTGGGTGCTTTTTGCTTTTTTTTTTTTCTTTTTTTGGTTTACTAGATGTAATTATTTTTGGACTTTTCTGATAACAACCATCATAGTTCAGTAATCTTGAATTTCCAAAGTTTACCAAAATATAAATGCTTCAATCTAATTATTTGTAATGCTTAGATGCAGGTATGAAATAATATTCAATTATGGGGCAATTTAAATATATAAAGAATGGACCATTAGGTAAGAATGCAGCCTTAATTGGTTTATGGAGATTAAGTGAAAGTCTGATGGCTCAGTACTTTTCATGCTTATTTCCAAATAATAGTGCTTTGAACACTAACAGAAGTCCAAGAATACACCCAGAATTTTGTAGTATCCATTTCTTATTTTGGGGAAAACAATACTGCAGAGCCATTGTAGGTGACATACATAAAGGCTCTTTGTGGCCAATTATCTGTTCAGTGTATGAGCTTCACATTAGTTTAAAGAATTATGCCTCTCTCTACTTTTTAATAACAATAATCCAATGCCTTTCTTTACTGACCACTGAGGCAGTCTTTGCCCTCTGACTCCCTAAAGCTGTACCAAGTTCATTGTCTCCCTCTGAAATCAGGGGCACTTAAATGCTAATGGTAACCACAAGAAAGAGTAGGTCATAGTTAATCCTGTTAGCACCATGTACACACCTGCTGCTTTGTGAGCAGTAAACCAAGACGGGAGCTCATTTCTGGAGTTGTTTTGAATCTTTACTTCTCAATGAAACTTCTGTCCCTTCCTTAGAATCCGACCAACACTAGGATTCGCCACAACTAGTGCTCCAACATGGAGCCAAAACTGTTTTGAGTGTGGAGAAATCAAAAATTGTCATCAGGCACAGCAGAAACCTTCTCTTTCTACTTCTCCATTCGAACTTGAAGAGTTTTACACGTTTGCCTAAGGAACAAACACATGTCAGGCACTCCACTGTTTAACAGATTATTACAGAAAGCAAACCTGGGAGAAAGGGGACATTACAACAAGCATAAAGGGACAACAAGAAAATAATGTCCTTTACCTCCAAAAAAGCTCACAATGGGGATAGGTTTGTATCTCTCTTAGAAGATTATATAATCTTAGTACATCATTTTTTAATTTCAAAGAGACACACCTTTAAATGGGACTAAAATAAACAGTTTTTACAAGAAATTTTAAAAAAGGACAGTAAGTATTTCTTGTGAATATTTGGGGAGCATTCTGCACAAACCTAAGAAAAAAGTTCATTAAAAGCAAGGAAGAAAGTACACAGAAATCAAGAGATAGTCATTTAAGTATAAAAGTATAAAATAATTGTAGAAACAATATTAGGTAGTAATAATCAATTATAATTCAAAGATAAAATATTTGTGATCTTAACCATTCACAGCCTTGCCTGATCATCCATGTCTAGAGTAATTTGTAATTTGCTGAGGCAGGAATTTGAACCATACACACTTTAAGGGTGATAAATGGAACCAAGCCATTTAACCAACATATAGGTCTAGTCACCCTTGGGTGGCATTCATTTTTCAAGTCAACTTTGTTGCGCTCTAATCATTATTAATTATGTAATCCTCATTAACAGACAGAATGAGATTCATGACATTTTTCAGTTGTAACTTATGACATTTTATAGATAGAGATAGATGTTTAAAAGTGTTATTGGCCAGGTGTGGTGGCTCATGCCTGTAATCCCAACACTTTGGGAGGCCAAGGCGGGTGGATCACCTGAGGTCAGGAGTTCGAGACCAGTCTGACCAACATGGTGAAACCCCATCTCTACTAAAAATATTTAAAAAATTAGCTGGGTGTGGTGTCAGTTGCCTGTAATCCCAGCTACTCTGGAGGCTGGGGCAGAAGAATCGCTTGAACCTGGGAGGCGGAGGTTGCAGTGAGCTGAGATCACGCCGTTGCACTCCAGCCTGGGTGAGAAGAGTGAGACTCTATCTCAAAAAAAAAAAAAAGTAGTTTTATTTATACTCTCTTTTCCAAAGTACTCCAGCGATATCAAAACATACTATTTGAATTTCAAATATTTGAATAATAATTCAGTAGTTGACAGAAAAGTATAACAATAAATAATAAATCATATGCAAATTGGCTATTAATAGTAATTTAGACTCTGACAATAGAGGGGTTTTGGTTGTATAAGTTAAAAGTAAAGTAAAGCACTTTCTACGTAAATTTGAGAGGTTGGAATAGTTAAAACTAATAGCAACAAAAAAGACTAATCATGTAATTAGTAGAAAAATATATTTTCCAATTTTGAAAATATTTGTGTTATTGAGCAATTAGAACAGACCCCTGTTTTCTTATCCCTGCTAATCCTGGCCTCTCCCTCCTAAACCAGAAAATGTAAGATTTAAATGATGATTTGAGGAAGAGTGGAACTTTTGTATTCTGGCCACAGAGTCGAATCTAGAGGCCTTTATTTAGATATATCAAAGCCAACGCAGTTGTGAAGTGGGTCAGTGTTATGACTTGCAGCGGACACATGCAGCTGAAGATAAATCATAAAGACTGAGAAAATTTAGAAGAGTTTCTGTTTTTTTTTTTTTTTTAAGAAAAAGCAAGTCGCACTTGGAGAAATACATCATCTACACACTTCCAATCCTCCATTTTCTTTATGTTGTTCAAAAACATAGAAATGTTTTCAGGGACTTTTTAAAATTTCATATATACCCATTTAATACTTTAAGAGTAGAATAACTTTTTCCTATATGTCTTATCTCTAATCAGTTTCTAATCATCTTTCTAATCTATTTCCTACTCTCGGTCCCACTGCTACACTCTTTATTCCACCTGGTGTGTATAACTGCAATAATGCCCTGAGTTGTCTTGTTCCTTGATGTTCCTCCTCGTCTTTGCCACCATCATTCTGAAAAGAAAAATCTACAATACTCTCCTATTACAGGAAGAAACATAAACTTATTTATGATATATAAGATCCTTCATGATTAGACCCCAAATGCACAGCTTCATCTCCCCTTCTTCCCAATGCCTCCACAAAACATGCCTGCTCTACTCTAGTCACGTCTATTTAATCCTAGGACTTGATGTGCCCATTCATGTCCCCTTATCTTTGTGTTTGTTTTAGCTTTGCCTAAAATATACTTGTTTCAAACCCCAGAAGAAATGTAGCCACTTCATGATTTATCCAATCAGCACTTTGTCATAGTTCTATTATAAGACATATCTCATCACATTATGATTATTAATCTGTTTCTCTCACTAAAATATGAGGTATTGGAGAAAAATAATATTAGCATACATTTTGTTTCCTCAGTGCTAAGCAGCATATCAGGCACATACATGATGCCTAATATTTATTAAGTGAAAGATTGAAACAATGGGTGCATGGAGAGATGAATAAATAAATGAACACATGAATGAATTAATATAAGGAAAAAGGTGATAAGTAATTTCAGAAGAAGAAAAGCTAGAATCAATATTTGGATTCTCTGTAAACAGTAAGGGGGGTGATTAGGTGACCCAAAGGGTCAGTTCCTCAATTTTTAATTTTTCTAGGATTATCCCTATAATTCTGCAGTTTCAAAATTTGAAATTATAGATATGCATGGGTCCTGACATTCAGCTTCACATTTTCACCTCAGATATTTAAATTTATTCTCATTTGGAAAAGGTCTGATTTTAAAAACAAAATTAATTCATGAAAATAATAATGCAAGAAGATAATAGCAATCTGTGATGCTCTAATTGGTATTAGACTAATCACTTGGGATGTGGAAAATGTCCAAATGAATGCATCAAGGTTGATGCTGGCATATTCATTACAGTTAATATTTCAGTTAGAAGCTATCCCATTAAAAAAAAATATACCTATCTCCTGAGTAATTTCCATACAGCTGCTTAACACTGTTAGGAAATTTTTCTCCTGAAATATTTCATGAGACAATTACCCTACACCAAGGAATTACATGCTCACTTGACATCAGATATGGTGGTGCAAATGAAATAGCATCAAATTTCCTATAATGGAACACAGTAAACAAATAGCACAATGATTGGTTCACCATTGCCCCCAAATAATATTGTGCATGCAACCACTTATGTGCACGCACACAAACAGAATTATGTTCAGTTCAGGATGCCTGACCTCTCTCCTGCTTTTCTTTTTCCCCTATCAAATCTGGAGACTGGTATTTTTAAAGCCAAATAGAAGCTAATTTTTTAGTGTAAGTGGATATGATTTTTATTTTTTATTTTTGATACTTTGCTTTGGGGTTTCCCCCTCATAATAGTTTCTGAATGTGGAACTGCATGAACAAAGGGAAGACACATTTTACATATTTTTTATTTTGTTTTCTCTTTCTTTCTCTTTCTTTTCTTTCTCTCTAATTTCAATACTTTTGGGGGAACACGGGGTTTTTGGTTATGTGGATAAGTGCTTTAGTGGTGATTTCTGAGATTTTTGTACACTCATCACCCAAAGAGTATACACTATACCCAATGTGTAGTCTTTTATACCTCACCCCTCTCCAGTCCTTCTCCCTGAGTCCCCAAACCTTATTGTATCATTCTTATGCCTTTGTGTCTGCACAGCTTAGTTTTCACTTATAAATGAGAACATATGATGTTTGGTTTTCCATTTCTGAGTTACTTCACATCGAATAATGGCCTCCATCCAGGTCGCTATGAAATGCATTATTTCATTTCTTTTTATGGCTGAGTAGCATTCCATTCCATTTTCTTTATCCATTCATTGATTGATGGGCATTTGGGCTGGTTCCATATTTTTACAATTGCAAATTCTGCTGCTATAAACATGCATGGGCAAGTGTCTTTTTCATATAATGACTTCTTATCCTCTGGGTAGATACATAGTAGTGAGATTGCTAGATCAAATGGTACATCTACTTTTAGTTCTTTAGGAAATCTCCACACTGTTTTGCACAGTAGTTGTACTAGTTTACATTCCCCCCAGCAGTGTAAGTGTTTCATTTTCAACACATCCATACCAATGTCTATTATTTTTTGATCTTTTAAATTATGGCCATTCCATTGTGGTTTTGATTTGCATTTTCCTGATAATTAGTGAGGTTGAGCATTTTTTAATGTTTGTTGGCCAGTTGTGTGTATATATATATTTGTAAATATATATATATATATTTGTCTGTTCATGTCCATAGCTCACTTTTTGATGGGATTGTTTCTTGCTGATTTGAGTTCCTTTGCAGATTCTGGATATTAGTTTTTTGTTGGATGCATAGTTTGCAAGTATTGTCTTCCACTCTGAGTTGTCTGTTTACTCTGCTGATTATTACTTTTGCTGTCTAGAAGCTTTTTAGTTTAATTAAATCCCATCTATTTATCTTCATTTTTGCCACATTTGCTTTTGGGTTCTTTGTTGTGAACTCTTTGCATAAGCCAGTGTCTATAAGAGGTTTTCTGAACTTGTCTTGTAGAATTTTTACGGTTTCGGGCCTTATATTTAAGCCTTTGATCCATCTTGGGTTGATTTTTGTATAAGGTGAGATATGAGGATCCAGTTTCATTCTTCTATGTGTGGCTTGACAATTATCCCAGCACCATTTGTTGAATAGGTTGTCCTTTCCCCACTTTATGCTTTTGTTTGTTTTGTCAAAGATCATTTCACTGTAAATATTTTGCTTTATTTCTGGGTTCTGTATTCTGTTCCACTGGTCTTCGTGCCTATTTTTATACCAGTACCATGCTTTTTGGTGACTATAGCCTTGAAGTATAGTTTGAAGTCAGAAAATGTGATGCCTCCAAATGTGTTCCTTTTGCTTAGTCCTGCTTTGGCAAAGCAAGTAACCTGGATGAAGTTGGAGGCCATTATTCTAAGTGAAGTAACTCAGGAATGGAAAACCAAACATCGTATGTTCTCACTTATTAGTGAAAACTAAGCTATGCAGACACAAAGGCATAAGAATGAT